AGTTTTGAGAACATAATAATATTGCATAGGTACAACGATCCAGTGGTGTAGGGTTTTCTTGGCTACGTTGCGAGGACCTGCACAAGTTTGGTTCTATCAGTTACCGCTGGGATCTGTCCATGATTTTGAGACATTCAGGTCAAGTTTCATCAACCAATTTGCGAGTGCGAAGGCGCAAGAGAAGACTTACTTGACCTGCAATAGAAGGAGAATGATTCACTGTGGGATTATGTAGTTCGCTACTATAGAGCTTGCTTAGATGTACCTTCGACGTCTGAGAAAATAAAATATGAAGGGCTAACAAGAGGGTTAAGACCTAACTTATGCAGAAATTCTTTGGCCAAGCGACCTGGCCGAACATTTGATGAGGTATTTGTTGGATTCGGTGAAGAATGTCGTTTATCGTTGCAATAATTGAATACCCTGAGAAATTAATCCTTAGCGCAGTAGAAAACTAAAGTATAAAATTAAAATCTTACGATTTCACAAAAGTCGACTATGGGCCTGTACGAACGGTTCTGAGATGTTCTTTAACCTTCTTCGTCCGTCTCGTACATGTCGCGTGTGATCGGCGAGTCCTCGCTTTCGATAGTCGTTGTCCGCGTGCGTCGTGCATCTGTCGTCTGGCGCTGCAGAGATCGTCTGCTTCGCGGTTGTGATTGCCTACAGCTACGAATGGTGATCGTCTGCGACACGCTGGGAGCTGTGTGTGTCGCGGTTTTGCGTCAAGTGTTGCGGCGTGTGCTTCGCGGATGGGTCCTGCGTGCCGCATCGCGGCTGTTGGTGGTGGTCCCCGGTGCTCGCATGCGGTGGTCATGCGTGGGTGTCGGTGATTGCCCAACACCTTCGATCTTATATTTCATATCCTTAGCCTCGTTTGGACGTCGTGTGGGCGCCGATCTACTGAAAATGTGTGTCTTGTAACTTTCTCTCTCTCTCTCTCTCTCTCTCTCTCTCTTAACTCTCTATTGACTATGATTGCTAGAGTTATGATCTTGGTATAAGATTGAGTTCCCCACATGACATATATATTGTTACAACAGTGACCGAAGGAGGCTAGGATTAGAACTTCCAATGGGCCAAGAAGTACTTGTTTTGTGGTCCACCCTATTATTTTGGGTTAATTCCACTAGATATTTATTATTGTACTTTCTTTCCTTCACCCCAGTTGCTTGAGCTCCACTATCCTTGATTTATCTCCCCGTGCCAAAGATGTAACATCCGTTAATTAATTTATTTATTGACTATTTAATTAATTAACTTCTTTGATATTCTGAGACTAGTACCATCAATCCTTATTACTATGCTGTAGTTAAATTTGCCTGCAGAGCTTGACATAATAAACCGTTTAAGCTCATCTCGGGGATGCATCAACCTGGCGCACCAGTGCACAGTGACCGAGTATAATCGACAGCACACCATGTTATTAATAATAATTTCCACCTCACCACGTTATTGATCTAGCGAAATAAGTATCACTTTTTGATGAATCAAAGAACAATTATTAATCAAATGTGCCCATCATTATCAAACGACATAAGTGTACGAGCGGTATCACAAGATCTAGTTTATTTACTAGGTAAGTGTAAAATAAACTTCTTCTTCAAGGTCTGTACACACAACTGTACTAGCATAATTAATTATTTAAGACAAACTAACTCAAATTATACTATAACAATACTAATAGGTTGGTCAATTGCTATTTCGGTTATGAACCTTGTTTATATTGCACACGGAACTGGGTATATCAATGTATAATTCTTAGTCCTTCGCAGGTACTTGATTATAATCTTCACCGCAGACCAATGCGCTTGTCCAGGATTACTCTGATATCTATTGATCATGCTTTTGGCAAAGCAGATATCTAGCCGCGTAAATAACATAACATACATGAGGCTTCCCACAACTGAAGCGTAGGGAACTGCCTTCATGTCCTCTATCTCTTGTTGTGTCTTAAGATACATATCCTCAGATAGATTCCATGCCGAAAGGAAGAAATCTCTTTGAAGTCTGCCTGCTAAAACGTGCCAGGACAATATCTATTTATAAAGCTTGGGATAGGTAGAGCATACTTTTCTTGCGATCCCTTATAATTTTGATCCCAAGAATATGCGCTGCTTCTCCTAAGTCCTTTATATCAAACTTGTTGGATAATCATACTTTTGCATTCGACAACACCTTCACACTGTTGCCGATGAGAAGTATGTCATCAACGTACAGTACAAGAAATACCGCCACAATTTTTTCGCACTTTTTGTACACGCACTGCTCATCCGGACTCTGAGTAAATCCATATGTCTGGATATCCTCATCGAACCGGATATTCTAAGACCTTTAAGCCTACTTAAGTCCATAAAATAGACTTCTGTAGCTGCATACCAGGTGCTCTCGGCCTTTAGTAATAAAACCCTTCGGTTGCATCACATAGATTTTTTCCTCAAGACTTCCGTTAAGGAAAGCTATCTAGACATCCATCTTCCAAATCTCATAATCCATATGAGCGGCAACAACAAGAAGAATCTGAATAGACTTAAGCATCACTACCGACAAAAAGGTCTACTCATAATTGATTCCCTCTGATCCTCTCTTCTGCTTGTAGACCCATTTATGCCCAATGGATTTTACGTTGCTTAGTGGATCCACAAGATCCCAGACTTAATTCAAGTCCATTGACTCGATCTCAGATTTCATCTCTGGTTCCAAGAATCTGTTAGGACATACTGCAAAAGCTTGATTTTAAGTTTCTGACAATATCATTTTGAAAGAAAATTATGTTTTGGTCAAGTATTTGTGTTTGTAGTTTATTTATTTATGCGAACATAAGTTCTTTTATTTTACGTTTAGATAATATGTGTCGAACATAAAGATCATATTATCAGTCCCTTGTAAAATATAAATAATATGCTTCACAGTTTAGACTGAGTTGAAGTATCTGTTGTGAAAGGTTGTAGTGTAATTTTGATTCCGTTGATCTTTGGCTGATGAATTACACTAGTACATATTGGGTGTATTGAATGGACCTACAGAGGATAAGATTATTTTTAGACCTCATAAATTGATGCGTTTTCTTAACTCGTAAGACAATAAACAGGTATATTTACTCAACACTAGTTTATTGGATTTACTAAGGGTGGTACCTACTTTGATTAGGTTGACATAATAGGTATTTTAGTAAATATGTTGTTTACATGATGTGCCGTTGAAATTGTTTACGGTCACTATGTCTTGGTTCACCGGGTTTATGGCGTCCCCGAAATGAACTCAGGAAGGTTTATTATGTTAATCCCTGCAGGCGAATTAATTTTCGACATAATAATTAAGAACTAAGTGGTACTAATTTCGGATAGAGAAATTAATTAATTAAATTATCAGTAATTTAATTAATTAATAGACATTATATCCTAAACATAGGAAGGTAATTCGATCAATTAATTTGGCGAGAACAAATTATTAGTAATTTGGAGCTACATGAGGAGTGCAATAATATTACCCTAGTGAAAAGGTTTATTATTTAATCAAATAAAGAATAAATAAAAGACATATGGTCTTCTAAAATGTTAACAAGTTGGAAGACATAAGGTCGTTTAGAATGTTAACAAGTTGAAAGACATAATGTCTTTTAGATGTTGACAAATTAAAAGACATAAGGTCTTCTATTCCTATTTGGAGAATTTCATATTTAGCACCTCCTTAGGGTCCATGTTGTAGCCTATAAATACACCAAGTCCCACACCATGTACACATACATGACATCCTATTTTTAGTCTTCAAAAGAGAGGAAAAAATTGAGTTTTATATATTAGGAGGTTTCGTGAGTTTCGTTTAGTCTCACCACCAAGACGACTCGAAGTAGATGTAGAGGTAATACATCAAAAGATCATAAACTTTAGATTTTCGCATCCCGACGAATTTATATCCACCACCGAGAACAACCACGAGCAGCACTAGCCCAGCCGTGGCGGTTCCCGGTGACGTACCAGCTCCCAGCTAGCGAACGTCACAACCCGTGCCCGGCGACGCCTACTCGACCGCGAGATCCTCGGCGAGACCCACGTAGCGACTCGCAGACCTGGAAGATTCCCGACAATGCCCGACGCGCACGCGATGCCCGCTCCTCAGTGCCCGACGCGCACGCACGCACGTCAAAGACATCTGGACAACGGAAAGTATAAAAATTGATGGACAGGCCATAGATAACGTATGTAAAGTGATTAAGTGAATACATAGGGTATTAAAAGTGAAAGGGGCATAGTCAGGGGTACCAAAACAACATTTTTTCTAGAAGAAAAATATATCACCTTACCCCCTTTGATTTTCCCAAAATAGGTTTGTCTAAAAGCAAACAAAATAAAAAAGAGAAAAAAGAGAGAATAAGGGATGTTTTGATATTTTATTTACCAGCATTCTTTTAAGGTGGCTATGCGTAAAGGAGACCCTTTTTTTATGTTAAAACAACGCAATTTTAAAGATAGTAAGACTTGTATCAGTCTTTGAGAGTCATTAATAGGGCTGCACACGAGTCGAGCGGCTCGCGAGCCGCTCGCTAGCACTCGAGCTGGAGTTTGACCGAACTCGAGTGGAGCTCGAGCTACTCGAGCACGAACTCAAGTCGAGCTCGAGCCCATATTTTACATTGTCGAGCAGCTCGCGAGCGGCTCGAGATATATGATAAATTACTAAAATACCCCTTCTATATATATAATTTGACAAAGTTGTTTGAAAATTTTCGAACCGAACTCGAGCCAAGCTCGAGCATTTTGAATTCGAGTCGAGCTCGAGCTATTGTATTTTTTTATCGAGTCGAGCTCGAGCTCGAGCAGCTCAAAAAAATAACAAATCAATCCTTCTCAATAAGGCCAATGCTCGACTCAGCTCGGCTCGTTTGCAGCCCTAGTCATTACTTCAAGATACATAGATATTGGGCCGATTGGTCGAGGATAACTATAAAACTTACGATTTGAGATGTAATTTTCCAGAAAAACGTGACAATAAATGGGAATGGCATTTTTTATTTTTTAACAAGTATAAATTTATCAACATTATTCTTTAGCTATAGGTCCTTTTGGGCTTATTTCCTTCTCGAATGTCAGAGGAATCACCAAAACAGTAGTAAACCCTTGGACTCCTTCAAACAATGTATAATTATCGTCCCACGCAATACAAACGGCTAAACAAGCCTTTCAACATCCAACAGGCGCAATAATACTGTGCCCAATTTTCCTCTTTTTACACAATTTCAAGAGGATAACCATTAACCAGAGAACACAACTTAAAAAACACAAAGGAAAATAAAAAAGACTTTATGTGGCATTTTGATGTCCCATGCCCTCATGCAGTTGAAGCAGGCATTGCCTCTTCTTCTTCATCATTGGTAAAAGGTATCGGTTTTGTCGGGGCAGGCAGGCGGCCAATGCTATCGACCTTATCTTTCTGTTTGGGCGGTGGCCTTGCTGCTTTTGGGAGTAACCTACCCTTCTTCTCAAACCATTCGGGCTTCAGCAGGGCCCGTAACCCTAGTTTGTTGTAGTACACTTTCCTCACGGACCCACCAGCCGCCTCAACTGCCGCTTTTGCCCTCACGGTCACCCTAGAAACCTGCATTTCGCGACAAAATATACAAAATGTGGAGGATTTAGTGGGGAACAGGAAAGAAAGTCGGGCGCAAAGTGACGAGATTTTACCTCGAGGTGGATAGGCCATTTAATGTGTTCGGCCCCACGTGCCATCAGTCGAACTCCATCTTCGATTTGCTTCCCTATTGCTCCTGAATCCTTTTTGACATGGAAAAAGAGCAAGTGAATAGAGAATGTGTCTTGGGAGGGGCATGGGTAAGAAACTTGGTTATAAACCGTACCTTGAGAGTTTTCATTGTGATCAACTCTGAAGAATCTATCTTCCCAGCATTTATCAGTTTTGCAATTTTCCCTAAGCCAACAGGCTGCAAAAGTGACGGCAATGTGAAGGATAATAATTTCAGTGGCATCAATGAAAACTTTTCCTGATATACTTGAAAGCTAAATTGTGAATCATTGCAGGTACTTTTCATCAGCATTAAGCGCTGGAAGTGGGGGCCAGAATTCAGAGCTTATATGAACAGTATTGTGTCTACACTTCACTTTTTTCACAACACATTTTCATTTTATTATAAACCTGTGTTCAATGTCTACACCTGCCTATTTTCGCAACACATTTTCATTATACTATAAACCTGTGTTCAAATGTATAATCGGGAAAATCTGCGCAGTTCTATAATTGGTAAAAGTGTCATCCATCAACAATTTTAAAGGCACTCACACCAAGATTGTCATCCAGTAATCATCATTACGCGGTGGAGGGTAGGTCAGAACTCAGAGCGTATGACCAGCATTATATCTACACTTGCCTTTTTTGACAACGCGTTTTAATTTTATTATAAATTGTGTTCATACTTTAGTAATCATAAAAAGGCATACTTTCTGTAATTGGGAAAGCACTTGGGAAAAATGATCAGCTGCACATTTGCTATTCACTAGTAAAACGAGAAATTTATAGGTTAAAATTTGCACTCAATGTGAACATATATCAGTTAACATCCAGTGATGCACAATTCCCATTATCATTTCATATATTCGGTAAAGATCAAGCACAACCAGGATACTAACACTAGAGGAGAGGAGATAACACCATTTGGCCACATACACAGACTTCTTTCATTATATGTTGTGAGTGAAACGGCAACAAACCAGCAATTCTCAAAAATAATATCACAAAGTAGCACATATTCTTTTCTCTGGTAAGAAACCCATTTTTATTTCTCCACCAACCTTGTTCTTTATAGTAATTTTATATATGGGTGTGAGAAAGTATCGGCTTAACTGCAAAAGCATGCATAGATAAAGGTAACATATGTTGTAATTTAATTGCCACATTATCCAATATTTTTCGAGTTCATCCCTCTTTTCCATGGAAGTTCACTCAGCACGAAACAAGTAATCTAGTACTAAAGAATGTCACATTTTTCATTCATATTGAAACAAATAGATGAACAGAAGAAAAGGAAACAACTCAATCAACCTTAAAAAGATCAACTCAAGCAATAAATAGAGACTTAAACAGTTGGAACAAACTGCAAGCTCAGAACCTTCCTGTGAGCGACCAGCATATTCAATCAGTTTTGTGGAAACAGGCATAGAGATACAGAAAACAAGTGATTGAGACAACAACTGAATTGCACTAAACACTAGAATATTTAGTATAACAGCGACAATGACTAATTACACAAGAAGTCACTTCACGGTTAATAAGCTGAGTGAAGTTTTTATCTTTAAAGCTATTAACTTTAGAATTTGTGCTAAAAGTAATACAGAAATCGATATAATTTATCTGCATACATTCAAAACTTCATGAGAATGCAGATGGATTGATGATTAAATATGCACATTCGAGGATGTGCACACAGACATATGCACATGACCCTTTCAGCCCATTGTGAATATTGAACAAACTTTGTGTATCCATCCCTTCTTAATGTTGTTCTCTTCATGAAAATCTTAAAATTAGTAAGTAAGATACCCAACAAATAAAGGTGCTTCAAATATAGTCACATTGAAAAACCTTTGCCACTGACATCAGTTAGATCACTTAATTCCATCATCTTTTTGGGTCAATTCTCCACATCTCATCAGACGGACTATAGTATCAAACATCATTCATACCAGCTATAGAAAAATGGCCGTGCAAAAAACTAGTTATGGAAGTTCCATAAGGGTGATCATCCACTCCCTGCATCATCTAGGTTCAACCATTTCACACAAGTGCAGCTAGACTCCTAAAAAATTGTATATGTATTAATTTGACAGCAAACAATCACTTACATTCCAGTTAATCATCTGTACGGCACTATACCTCTCATGCACATTCTTGACAGATTAACCAACCAATGAATTCAGATTGGTTACAGCATTCTCCAATCAAGAAATTTCGCTCTCTCGAGTCATAAAGGGTTTACTAATATTTTGCAACCATCCAATACTCACCCAACATATATAAAGCAGAGAGCAAAGACTAAAGTTTTGAGAAGGGGGAAGGAATGCAGAAGTCATATTGAAATGAAAAAACACCTGAAACGTGAGCGTGAAGGGATTCTTAAAGCCCCTTTTGGGGAGGCGTCGACGAAGTGGCGTCTGGCCACCTTCGAACCCAAATTTCATAGTGCCACGGGCTTTTTGACCCTTGTGCCCACGGCCCGCAGTCTTTCCCTTACCCGACCCGATTCCCCGCCCCTTGCGAGTTTTCTGCTTTCGAGCCCCTGGATTGTCCCTCAAATCGTTCAACGCCAATAGGCTGCTGTAAGCCCTCACGCCACCAGGATGACAGCTGGAGATGGAAACATGACTCTGGCAATGCTGAAAATGCAGCGACACAAACTGTAGGGGTGCGAGATGAGAGGTGGGTTTAGGGTAGTGATTGTGGGCAGTACGGATGAAGGTGGGTATAAGCGAAGCTAACCTTCGTCTCAGCATTTTTCGAAAATGTATTGGATTTGTGTAGTACTACTTAGCAGCGTTTGTAAATGTAGAAGATGAAAAATCAGACCTGTCATTCAGCTCTCCATCGAAAGGGTTCAATTCTGTGCAGAGGAGTCGGATGTAGGTGAGTCGGGTCAACTCAGCACCACACATGTATGCTTTCAATTTTAGTTGCCCGAATTCGATCATTTTAGTTGATCTCATTTTATATATAAACTAGTATAATACTCGTATATTACAAAGATACTTGTTAAAATTTTATATTTAAAATTAAATAATAATAACAGATAATTCTTTATAAATCTCCAATTCACATTTGAGTTTCCTTGTCAGTCCTAATGCTTTTCTTTTTTCTCAGCACTCCCTAATACATATTTATCTTTCCTCCAACTACCCGTATAAATACTAACTAGTAAAGTACCCGTGCGATGCACGGGGGTTAAAATCTCTACCTTTTACAAAGCAAATTTCAATTTAAAATCAAAGTACTTAGTAAAGGAAACATCAAGTCATTCATAAATAATAAATTAATAAATATAACGGAAAATAATCTATATATTATTGAACACTTCCTTATATACAACGTTCATGGTTTGATTCGTTGGTACGTTATCGTCGCCACAAATTAGGGTTTTCAAACCATTTCTATTTACGACACGCGAGACAGCTACATACAACTGTCCATGACTAAACACCGGTTTCTTAAGAAATAAGCCCACATGAGACAACGATTGTCCCTGGCACTTATTTATAGTCATGGCGTAAGAGACTATAATGGGGAACTGACGACGCTGGAACTTGAAAGGAATTCTAACATCAGAAGGAGTTATAACCATTATTGGAATCAAAACTTTATCGCCTGCGTGATCGCCAGTGAGGATCTTACACTCGAGAACATGAGTGGAGAGCTTTGTCACTACCAATCGTTTCCCATTACACAGGCCCATAGAATGATCCATATTCCGCAACAGCATGACCGAAGTTCCAATCTTCAAGTACAACTCATGATTCGGTATTCCAGAACACTTTATACTATTAAAAAACTCGGGTGTATGGAGATCAGACAAAAAGTCATTATTAGAATCTGATTTGCACGTACTGTCAGAGCTCAAGTACGTACGACCATCCGACAAATTCAACGATGTTGACCGCGTCGCAACGCGGCAAAATTAAAATTTATATTTTCCTCGACTAACCTCTACTAACTAGTAGTAGTGGCGAGCAAATAAAAATAAGAGAAAGCTTCTAGTTCACGGTTCCATCTACACCCTCGACTGACTCGTCTAATCAATTTTAATATCAAATCTCGTTATCTCATGAAATTACTAGCCCTAGGTAACGACACGGTCTGTTACCCGAATTTTTCCTTATTTTTAATTTAACCGCGAGATGCTCGACGATTAAACCTGACTTCTTGTACAGTCCAGAAAAACGTTTTCAAGATTTAATACAATTAGCCGCTTTACGATTTAGAAAAATAGACTAGACTAATTAGTGAACTCAACCGCGTTCGTTCACTTAATTAGGCCGTGTTATCCCCGGTAGTTACCATCTTCTGGTTACCTCTTATGAATTAAACACAACAACAATTACAGATTGCAGGTCTAACTCAGATGTTGATATGAAAAGCCTAATCTAGGTGATCAATCTAAATAAGACTAACACATCATGGTGAATTATTCAAAATAACACAAGCAATTCCAAAAAGATATTAAAATCATCAGCCACAAAAATCAATCAAAACATAGTCAATCGTAGGGTTCGACTTCCTCGGAACTAGAAATAAAAATTACTCTAACATAATAATAAAAATAAATAAAAAGATAAAAGAGAGAGATTAATTATCTCCCTCGTGTGCGGTGCGGCTTCCCTCTGCGATTGATCGGGTTCCTTGCTTCTGTCGGGTATCTTTTTCTCCTCACGTCTGTGTGTTCTCCTTTCTGTGTGGCGTCTTTTATTATGTTTCGTGAATGATAGGGGGCTTGCGTGATTCTCCAGCCAATATATATATGTCCGCAAATAATCCTCTTCCAATTAGTATTAGTGACGGCTCCTCCAAAAATAATGCCTCTCCATGCTGCGTTAATATTTATCTCTCTCCGCAATTGAATAAATCAATGTTGAGCCCAAAATAACTCCATCAACTCCTAATTCGTCCATAATTCCCACGTGGCTGCCAATTAATTCCCAATGGTCTCTCATGACAATAAATATATTAGGCCTCAGTCATTTTGAGCCCACACTCCATTGTTATGGCAATGAACTATTTGGCATATTAGCCCATATAAGAAATCTACTGAAAGCTTAATTGTCTTAAGTGAAATGGGCCACGTCTATATAATTACTCCAATATCCTGAAATTAAACCATAAATATATCATAGCACTTGAATCCATCTAATAAATAAATAAGTCGAAAAACAATAAGTGCGATAAAATTAAGCATATAAAAATACGCTAATAAATATATAATATACACACTTTTGTCGACTAATAAGATGTCATGTACTCATTGATAGAATCAACAATATCTAAAGTCGGCGCTAATATAGCACTGTCCTTCAAATAACTTGGATCGTCAGTTGCCTCCTTAAACATTGGATATGTGCTTTCAGCAATTTGAGCAACAGGCTCATCAGATGGCTGTAGCAAAATGTCCTCGGGTATGTATCATTGCACAACCATCGTTCGACCCCCCCTATAGTTCCATCTCCAATGTTGGCTATCCAATCCGCAAACCGAGCGAGCTCATCACGTTCATTGGAATTTGAAAGTCCGCGAAGACGCATGTTTTTGTAAGCCTTAGCACAGTGCAACTTCTCCATATGTCAGAAGCATTGATGGTAGCATTAACTATGTCTTGACGGCTACCCTTTGGAATGACGGGAAGGATTTGTCGGAAATTTCCACCAAAAACAATAGCTTTCCCGCCAAACGGTTTGTCCTTGTTTGAGGGGTCAATTGCTCCCATATTATAAGAGAAGCACGAATTATCAATTCCGCTAGAGGGCTCGACTGATTGATGTCGCAAGTAGATTCCTGGTGTGGATTCAATGGAATAGAAAATCGGGAATGCGCCGTTCGTCCACCTGGCAGCAAAATCGATGCTATTCCGCTAGGTGCGACGCATAAGACTATGTTACCCTTGGATCTCAAACTAGCAGATGAGGTCTTCCACAGATACGTCTTCCCAGTTCCACCATAACCGTATGCAAAAAACACACCGCCTTGGCCTGATTCAATGGCAGACATAATTTTGGCGTAGACACTCTTCTGTTCATCAGTCATGTTTTGAAGAAGCGTATCATGTTCAACATTGAGGGCCTTTCGATCATAATTCAACTCATCTAATATCAGACGATTCCAAGTTGAATGCATGTTGTCCCTGTCTGGAAATGGCATAGGTGAATATTCTCAAAGATTTGTACCACGACGTCTCAATAAAGCATCAATCTCAGCTAGGGCTAAGTTTTGAATTTGCTCCTCAGTAAGCTGTAAATCTATCAAACCGAACACATAAACAAAGATCAAAACAATTTAAATTAAATCTTCCTACTTGTATATAAACTTGAAAATGAGTAGTTATTAAAATTGATATTGATATATGAAAACAATTAGTACCGTCGCTATTGAAAAGTCGACGTTGTCTGTACAGGATGTCATCAGACATACATTGCCAACAGTTATTCCATACGTCATATGGTCTACCAAATGAACCGGACACCAACAAAGATGTGAACATGCGTCTAAGGGAGTCTGCAGATGCCCACTGACTTGCCTCGGTTATGCCATCTACGTCCTCCAACACTATATAAAAAGATCGATTTTAATTACATTGTTTTATTTTTTGATACTTCATATAGTCAAAATATTTGGTCAAAATCCAGAATATACATATTTTTTTAAACTCATAAATTATTGGAGTATAAACAAACTTACCATTTGTTATGTCAGAAAGCGGTGAATCACATAAATTATTCATCACATTGTACGATGATTGTGTGTATAGATTACGGCCATGCACATTCATCATATTTGACCCTGAAAACAAATATGATGTATGGTAACGCAAAACACTCCAACCGGCTTGAAATCGGTTTGCTTCCTTCTTCCTCGCCGATAGAACGCCGCGCTCCTGCACAGAACTCTCACACCGGAGGGGTTTTCCGGTGAAGAGCCTCCGATGCTTAAGTCAGTATATGTTTGTTCAATTTTCTAAAGTAAAGAATGGATAAATCGTAAACCCTAAGAAAAGACCCACTCCTCTATATATAGGAGTGAGATACCTGCCTTAAGAGCTGCCCGGATATTTGGTGAGCTGTCCTGCCCGCGCTGCCCGTCCGTACACACGCAGTACGTGTATTGTCAGAAATGTCAGGGACGTCAGAGGTGGTTATTGCCACTATTACTCTGCACCACTAGGTTCTCGCCACGTGTCCCCTTTTGAGCTGAGGGGAAATATTCCTTTGCGTGGGCCGTTGGGATCCCTTGATATCACCCACGCACCTACTCACGTTCAGGTCACGCTCTCGACTGCCTCCTTCCTGCTACGTGCTCGATATGATCGAGGTCCCCCTCGCTAGGTCGATCCTCGACCAACCCTGCCATTCTGCTCGATCTCTTCTGCTTTGGTCGATCATCCTTCAACCCACGTGGTTTTCTCCCAACTTATGCCGGTTTGACCGACGTGATGGGCCGGTCTGTTCTTTAGTCATATGATATCCCATATCATCTAGTCCCCCCCCCACTCTGGTCGAGTCTGAATGACTCGATCTAAGAGTGGGTCCGAGCTGTCTTCTTCGTTCTACGTATTTTTCCCGATTATTTTTGTCGGTGTCGCCTTCTGGTCTCCTCTCTCGATCACTCTTGTTGATGTTGTTACCTTTTCTCGACCACGTGGTTTCTTTTATTGCATGCTATGATCGCTTTTCATCTCTCTTTATTATTAGCGCGATTTCCGCCTGCCACATGTCCTCCTTCTCTGTACCTTTAATCATCACGTCTTCTCGCGATTTGTGCCACTCCGATATCTACGCCTCTTTAATTGTTTCCGCCGTTGGATCTTCCTTTATCTAACGGTCCTATTCTCCCAACTCTTCACCTTATTCAATTGTACTCCTATAAATACGATACTTAGTCATTTTTGCAGCTTTTCTCACCTTTGCGATTTTGA